TGAAACAAAAAAATGTCTACCTAAATGCCTTGATTGTAGCACTGATGTGCACCTGAACTATTATTACATTTTATCTTTTACTCGTGCGTTTAATAAATGATCAAAAAAAACAAAAAAAAAAAAAAAACAAGGATCAATGTATTTGCCTCAATCAAGATGTGTTAAGAGGAAGAAGAATAATTTTCCAGTAGCTTAAGAATTACGTGCACCCACATGCACCTACATCCCAGCTGTGTTGTGATTGTGCCGACGACGTAAGACGAACTTCCTATTTCCTTGCCGTGGACAGTAGCCGCCGAAGGAGACAGCCACGACATCGCGAGAGGATTGTATTGTAAGTTACTTTAGTTATTTATTCCCCTGTTGTTTTGTGTCCCCGATGAGTAGTTAAGCGCTACAGCTGCCACCGCTGTAGCTGAAAGGAGAAAGGGGGTGTGCATATGTAGGACCGACGCCAGACGACGACCGACTGACTTACAGTGGACAGACAGACGGCAGACAACCGACGGGACTTTTCTTTTTATTTTATTTTTATTTCTTTGTCAGAAAAAGACAAATACTCAGCCGGCAATGAAAGTAAAGAGTCTCATGACAAAGTGGCGCCCAACGAAGTGAGACCCATTATAATAATTTTTAAACTATTTAAAGAAAATTTTAAAAATTAATTAAAGAAAAAAACAAAAGGAAAATTTTTTTTCTTTTATTGATTAAAGTTGGTCGCCATAACACCATGACAAAGTGGCGCTCAACGTTAAACGAAACCGCATAAAAAAAAAAATTTTATATTAAATTTTAAATTGATTGAAGGGAAAGTTTTAAAAAAATTAATTAAGAAAAAAAAAAGGAAAACCTTTTTCTTCGTTTATTGATCAACGTTGGCCGCAGAATCATGACAAAGTGGCGCCCAACGACTGTAAAATCCAGTATAAAAATTTTTCGTATTGATCAACGTTGGTCGCATGACAAAGTGGCGCCCAACGAAATAGTTAACCCAAGTATAAAGTTTAAAATAATTAAAGAAAATTTGTAAAAGTAATTAAAGAAAAAAAAGGGAAAATTTTCTTCTTTTAGTGGTTAAAGTTGGCAGCTATAACATGACAAAGTAGTGCCCAACAAAACTACCCTATTAGACGTATACATGTACATATGTAATCCTGTAGTAATGATTTCTATTACAACCATCAATGATGCATACATGCGTGTATATGTGTATTTTTATATGTATACGCTGCTAAAATGTAATACTTTTGTGATAACACAATTTTGCATACCTATACATACATCTACGCGATCTACGTTTGAAGCGAAGGTAGAAAAGATAAAAAAAATAGTCACTTGTTTAGCTAGCAAGTTAGCGTCCCTTCCAGTACAAACTACAGTGTTCTTGTAGGGATAATATAATATTTTGGGGAAAAAAAAAAGAGGGCGAAATTTTTAAATTAAAACTGCGCACTAATGTAAAAGTTTGTAGAAGCTTAACAACCCTGCTATTGGAAAAAACATATGGTTATTGTTTTCAATTTTTCCGAAAATGGCAGCGAATTTTTGCAAAAGATTTTTAGCTGCAAAAGGTTTAATTAATGTAAATAGAAATCTTAAAAATGTGCAACGTAATTACGGTTACAAAAACAACACAACGCATCAACCATCAAAAACTTATGGAAAATATTTATGGATTATTGGCGGCGGTGCGACTGCGATCATTTGCATAAATTTATTCAAATCCGGGACCAATTCAGTGAAAGCGTTTAATATGAGACACTCAAAGGTGAATACTTTTCCAGATAGAATAAACATCTATACAAGCTCTTGTCAAAGGCTGCCGTACAAAACTGATGTTAATGACATGTAGAATAATTGACGTCAAATTTCTCGAACAGCTTAAATGCTGGAAACCATTTAGCCATTCCCATTTTCGTCCATTTATATAAAATCCTATTTCCAAAAGCCGTTCTATGAATAACTGTATTAAGCGTAGTCGTGCAAGGTATTTAATAGTGAGCCATATCTCACTGCATTAATCTTTTTTTCAAATTTATTGCAGTATGATGAAGATTCAACAATAAGCAAATTAACAGCACGTGAAAGACGTTTTATCAAGTTTCCGTCCAGTGAGTATGACGGGCAATTATACATGACACCACAAGATTTTTTTTTTAGAATCAGTTGTCTAACAAAAACCCAGACGTAAATATATTAATGAACACACCAAGCAACTTTCTGCTTAGTTCCAAATAAATTTTTTGTTTTATAAAATGAAGCTCGCTTGAAACGTCGCATACTAACTGAACGTGATATAAATTCAATGCGTGATGAAACTCCACCGTTGAAGAAAGGTTCAAATCAATTGTCTAGAAAATTAAGGGATCGAGGTAGCTTCATATACACATAAAGTTGAATTTAGTGTTTTGGAAAAAAAATCTCGTCTCTTTCTTTTAGGCATTATTTCCTATACCGAGTATTTGTTTTTATTATCAATTTTAACAAGTAAGTGAAGCATATATCGGAATTAACGTTCGTATGTATTAAAAACCCTGTGGAGAATGTGAAAAACACCATAGAAAGAATTAGAAATTATTTAATTTTTCTTCCACTCCTAAACAACTAGTTATAATAACAGGTGCCTTTCCTTGATTTGCTT